ACTTTTTACCAAAAATGACAAAAATACTCACCAAAATTAGAGAATTGAAGATATCATCACGAAATGAACAAATCTGAGAAAGGTCCACATGTAGTACCTATATATATAATATCAAAGCAATCGGACTTACAGTTTTTAACAAGAAGTCGAAAATATCACTTTTACCAAAAATGACAAAAAAATTCACCAAAATTAGAGAATTAAAGATATCATTAAAAAATGAACAAATCTGAGAGAGGTCCACATGTAGTACCTATATATGTAATATCAAAGCAATTGCACTTGCGGTTTTTAACAAGAAGTCGAAAATATCACTTTTTACCAAAAATGACAAAAATATTCACCAAAATTAGAGAATTGAAGATATCAACATGAAATGAACAAACCTAAGAGAGGTCTACCCAAGGTACATATACACCAAGTATCAAAGCATTCAGGCTTGTAGTTTTCAAGAAGAAGTCGAAAAAGTAAAACATTGACACGGACGACGACGACGGACGACGACGACGGACGCCGACGGACAATCACTCATATGATAAGCTCCGCTCGACAAAGTCGACAGCGGAGCTAAAAAAAGATGCCTGCAAGTCGACCATCTTTGATCCAATTGCGAAATAAATCGTCATGGACATGTATCCTAACATGTACCGTATTATCCCAGGCGCGCGCCCCTCCCTGGGCAAGCACCCATCCCCCTGTTTTCACAAAAGTTACATGTTGGGGACATCCTCGGTTAAACGCCCAGGGTGATTTTTAGCCAAGAACAACAATAAAGGGTCAACAATAAAGTTTTATTTGTCAAAAACGAACGCGTTTAATTTATTTAAATAGTGTGTTTGTTACGGTAGTTCTCTTTTTGGAGTGTGTGGTGGCCCGGAAAAGGGCCATTATGTTTGTGTTTTTACGTAAAAACTCATTGGAGCTTAACGACGTAAGATGAACCACGCAGCATGTGGCGCACACGTTCTGCTTTCTCTTCATTCACGATGAATCCAATATTGCAATAATCCATACCTTGGTGAGTGGTTTGAAGCACTTAGCTTTGGTTTCAAAACGTAGCACTTCGCTGACTGTAAATCCATAACGGGAGCTAGCACTTTTGAGACATCACGTCGTAAACTTGCTACTTTCTTTCCATCCTTCATCTGAGCTATGACATTACAGTCATGTGGATTATTTTTCTGTCGTTGACGAAAAAACATTTTGCCGACTCAAGTTTATTACGATAACCATAATGAGGCATGTTGACGATGGGAACTTGTTGCATCATAATTTTAACCATGGTGACTACGTGAAGGTGAATAGAAACTGTCAGATGTTCACCCTAACATTGTTATGCATTTACTGTGGAAATCATAGGAAACACAAATTTTCAAACTTCCCATGCACGTGGCGTAACTTGTGTAACTATGTGTGGGTACGTGAATAAATCATGTTAATGAGGTCGACCAGAGTTTATTTTCAGTCTGTTTTTTATGTATCGCCATTTGGATATGTTTATGTATTCACAATAGTTTGTAAACATTTCACATCAGTAATAAAAGGTTTATTTGTTTCATAAACCTGTCTGCTATTCTTCAGTAATTAGAATGCGATGTATCAATACGTGCATGAACAAAATTATGCTAATGAGGTCATCGCAAGCGGTAATAAATCATCGGTAGTTTTTCCCGGCCGTTTCGACTTGCACTGATCATGGTTACTAAAAAAATAACCGTGCATTGATTACAATACTTACCATACTTTGTAGCCAATTTCAGTGAGTAATACAACTTCATTTGCTGACATAAAACAAGTTTTATTCTTGAAATTCGACCCTGTGTCTTAGTGTTCCAGCAGTTCTTGACCGAGTGCTCACGTTTATTGAAACCTCGCATAAATCAAGAAATAAGTATGTGTACAAAGTGTACGAAAGCATTCCTTTGTTTGACCTTATCATACGATGGAGTGGTCCTCGGGTAAGCGCCCACCCCCAATTTTTCCCGATTTTGTATGTTCAGGCCCCTGGGCGCGTGCCCGGGGTAATACGGTATAATCTATGTACCAAGTTTGAATGACAACTGACAAAGCATGTCCAAAATACAACATTTAAAAAAACCAATATGGCTGTCTGTCGGCCATTTTGATTCGAATCACTGCATGTGCATATGTCCCACATAAGGTACTAGGCACATGCAAAGAATGAACGGAATTGGTCCACAGGATTCTGAAATATGACCCTGGGCAGACTGACGCACGGACGACGGACACATGGACGGACAGACTCAGGAACTCACGGACGGTTGGGGGCATGTATCCTAACATGTATGATCTATGTACCAAATTTGAATGAAAACTGACAAAGCATGTCCAAAATACGACATTTTCAAAAACAAGATGGCTGCCAGTCGGCCATCTTTGATCCAATTGTGAAATAAATCGTCATGGACATGTATCCTAATATGTATAATCTGTGTACCAAGTTTGAATGAAAACTGACAAAGCATGTCCAAAATACAACATTTTCAAAACGCAAGATGACTGCCAGTCGGCCATTTTGAATCGATTCGCTAAACCACTGCATGTGCATATGTCCCACATAAAGTACTAGGCACATGCAAAGAATGAACGGAATCGGTCCAAGGGATTCTGAGATATGACTCCGGACGGACGCACGGACGGAGACCGAATTATAAGTCCCCGTTTTCGGACTTCGTCTGAGCGGGGACTAAAAATTGACAGTTTATTTGCATACAACCGCTCACTCCCAGTGCAAGCCATCAACACACAAGTAAATACAACTGGACATGGGACTTTGAACCACAGTCAGTGTTACCCTGATATCTCCAGAGACAGTTGTGTCTAATAAATAATTAAGCTAATGATCTTCTAATCATAGGGATTTATTTTTTATTTTTACTATGTTTCAATCACATTCCTTCAACTATTGTTTTGTATACAAGTCCTTCAGATCCATAGAACGTTTGCCTGTAATCTTTCCAGACAATCCTATTTCATAACGAAGACACTGTGCGGAAAAGGCCTGCAATACAGTCCCTGGTGAAATACTAGTACCAAGGAGATATACAGCTGTAAGTGTTAATGTGAAACAATTTCCCACTCTAAATGAAATTTGTGGTACTGTCAACTCGGTCTATAGTAAATTGTCACCTGAATGCACTAGAGCAAAGCATATACACTACGCGTTTATGAGCGAAGGGTCGATATAGTACGATATTAGTTTTTTTTAAATATCTTTCCGTTACACCATTGTACACAAATATCTAGTAAACGTCTGATGTGTTTTAACACGTCTATTTAAAGTCGGGCAAGAAAGACGCCACTTTAAATTGTCACCCAAATTGGTGATCGGTTGCGACGTTTCACAGCGATAGTGGTAACACTACATTACAAAGGGGTGGCTTGCGGCATCTGAAGGCTTATATCGATGTGATCATGCTAAAAGATAATAAAAACAGTGAAATATTTACCTGACTTCAACTCTTGAATCGTCGCCATTCTAAAATCCGTGTTTTGAATTCTGTGCAAACTCTGGTTTTCTGACGTTGGCGGCGCACAGGTAAGATGTTAAAGGTCAAAGGTGAAAGAAAGTTTACAATTTAAAATCTGTGCCGTGTTTTGTTTTATTTCCGGTACACAGTAAGTCATTTAGAATTTGATAGTTGTTGCCGCTATAGATTGTGTGTTCACGCAGTGTGGGGCGGGTGGCCTGTGTGTTGTTTGTGGAAACTTGGGGAATTCATCACAAATAGTATAAACTACACTGTAGCACCATAGCTTTGTTCGATATTCCCAACAAGCGGAATGTCCCCAATTCTCCAGATATAGCACTGCGTTACATATTATATTTTGAAGCCCCCCCCCCCCATGTTTATAATCTCTGTAAGCTTTGAAATATATTCATAATCGTGTACATTAATACACTGTACAGTGAAAGGCAGACAGCTGTGCCTTAATTTATAGCCATATTTATAACAATTTGTATATACCGATCATCCGATTTCATTCAAATTCAAATATTCAATAATGATTGCCTCAACAGCTTCATTTTGCCCATACCTACAACGTGCATGCAAGCCTAAAAATGACGTAGCAACCTGCTTATTTAAAATGAAGGGCTTGTTAATTTGGTGATGTTAAACCAGCTTGGGGGTCGGCAAGGGGTATTTTTGAAAGCTGTAATCAATTGTTTTGATTTTCGTAATAATGTAATTTAAATAAATAAAAAAACGTAAAATCGTAGACAGGCGCAAAGTGTAAAATGTAATCAGCTATTTTATTCATCCGTGGTTTGTACAAAGATCTTATTTTTTGTAATTTTTAGGCGTATAAAGCATTTTCTGCATTAAATGTCATAATTCGTTCACAATTCAAATTTTGATTCTTCAACACAAATATAATACATGTATAAAAATGCAAAATGTGATTTGGAATTTGCTTTATCTATAAAGTGTAAAAATCTATTTTTTTCTGTAAATGAAACTTTCATTTTATTTCCTGTAAAACGTAAAATACCATTTTTATTTCCTTTAACCTGTACCAGGTATCCCCACTTGCCCCCTAGCTTAGTAATATTAATTAGAACTTGTGATGATGTCTCCATATCGTTTTATCGATTTAGTCAATTTGAATTCTACAAGTCATTTTGATTTACAAACAGTTATATTTTTTTAAATGTTTATAACAAACTCAGCTTTATGTCGTTCACTGTACAATACATGAATTATTATAATCATTTTATTGATTTGTTTGTGATCATTATTGAAGCGAGAATGTCGTCACCTGCGCACACGCGGGAATTGAGTCCCAAGCGACGATAACAACACACGCTAAAAACACAAAGGCTCATGGGTAGACGCTTGTTTGTAAACAATGACACGCTATGGTCATCTGACGCATTTTGCATTTTGGTAAGATAAATATAATTTTTTGGTTAGATATATCATTTTTGTTTACAAAATTGTCAAAAAATATTAAGGCTTTTCTTCTACTAACCAACAGAGTTGTTCACTTGACTTTTCTTACATACACATTGTGACATCATAGACGCAATGGAATAAATATTTCAAGTCAGCAATGCTTGACAGATACAAAGCTGGTATGGTGCTGAGTGCTGTTGGTGATGCATTAGGATACAGAAATGGAGCGTGGGAGTTCAATATGTCTGGCAAAGAAATTCACAAAGAATTGGAAATCTTGGGCGGACTTCATAAAATCACAGTGAGTTGTAAGTAAGAGTATCAGCTGTGGAAACATGACTTATTTTGTCAAAAATCTATACTTATAAATGTAATCTGATAATTGAAAAAACCAATACCGGTAATTCCCAATCAGTTTTTCTAGAAACATTATCAGCAATGTTTGTTTTGACTTTGACTTATACCGGTATGTGTATTGTGTATCGCATCAACAAGTTGGCTGGCAAAAGTGCAATGAGAACCACTTAGTTTTAAACATAGTGAGTAGATGGAACTATTTTCAAATAGGATTTATAGAGTTGGATTCAAAAATTGTAGTGAAAATTTTTTGTAAAATACAAATATAGTGAATTATTATAAGTCCTAGAAGGATTCTACATTTGAACACAGTGATTTATTATTTGATTACAAGCATACAATTTCATTTCAAAATGATATGCAAATGAGTTATTAATTTTTAATGGCTGAACGCAAAATAATTGTAAATTGTTAAATTTGTTTAATGCTATGAAAAAAAAACTATAAGGTTGGTAATTATGTTATATAGACAGTTTTGATAACAATTAAAAAACCTTGCTTTCTTCTAATATGCAGTGCCTGCACTTTTTCAAATATGCAGTGTAAAGCCTGCTTATCGCAATTGAAAGGGCCACCCACAGAACTCACACTGGACAGGGGGTTCTTTCACTGCTAGTATGGGGTAGACAAGACAATACCGGTAGTACTGGAATTGTGGTTATGTGTACAGTGTTGTACAGAAATTTATATTTAAAAAAAATCAGTTTATTCGTAAAGAATCAAATATATCCCTGCAAAAAAATACAAATTTTTTGTTTTCCTGATTCGAAGAATTTTTGAGAAAAGCCCTGAATCATGCAGGTGTGCCACTTGATATTCACTCCTTACGTTGTGTGATATGACACGCCAATGGTCCACAGAGATTTGCTGTGACATTCAACAAAAAATCCTACATTGATAAAGTGATCTTGAAAAACCTTTTACTATATTTACAGAATTTTTTAAAACAAAATTCACATAAATAAAAATGAAGGCAATCAGCGACAACAATATTATTGTTTGTGCCTTATTAAAGTCACGTACAATTTTTTTTTTTAAAGACCTCTCTCCTCAGCAGTCAACAAACTGATTCTATTTTGACTTGGACTCAAATAAATCTTACAATATCAATCATGTTAGAGGAAACACTGACTTCATACATGTACTTCATACTTCATATATCTTGGTATAACCAAGATTTGGCACATATGCACATAATTTATATCAACTAGATGAATATATTTATACTTTCACAGTACCCAACTGGAAAGTCAGTGATGACACAGTCATGCATATTGCTACAGCCGAAGGTAAGGACAAATCATGCATAAATATGATTGTTATTAATAAATTCAGTAAATATTTACTGATCTAGTGGAGAATAAAGATTTTCATCACTACTTTTAACTATGCCTGAATTTGAAAATTACCGGTAAGTCATATTTTGTCTAATAAATAGAAAGAATACTAATACTTAAACTACATTTTTTTGTTTTGAAAGTGTTACATAAATATTGATTCAAACACAAGTCATCGACTGTTTTATATAGTTTGAGAAACGTTTTGAAAAAAAATTGTCTCAAAAAATGTAGAATTAGATATTTTTAGAACAATTTCCATAGGAATTCATTTCATAATAATAAATAGTATTTATCAGATTTTCATGACAACCATATTAAATATCCATTTTAAACCTACATATAATTTTAATGCCCATATGTAAGTGAACACAATTTTTAGATATGACAAGATCAGTTTACCACATGAACCTATGGCACCTTTTTTCAAGGATGTAGTATAGTTTGCTGAACATATATTTTATCTGGGTTTTGTGAACGACATGAAATAAAACTATGTCAATGAAATCTGTTCATGTTTTAATGCAACTACCTTTAATACATATTGACAAAAATTTGTCTCAATAACAGCACTGTAACCAATATTTTCAGCACTTGTTACCAATAAAATGGTTGGTGAAGATCTATTTTTAGAAATTGTTGGAAAATACATCTCAGCTTGTAAAACAGATATGAATGGAAGATTACCAGGTATGGCCCTATGGGGGCAGTATTCAAGTTAACAATAAGTACCTCTCATTGCTCACCTCTCTGCTTTTCACTTCTGTACATATGTATACAATTGCTCGCAATGGATCATAGTGTGAACAAGCAATGAATCCACTGATTTTGCATCAACATGATAGGCAGTCACACTAAGTCAATGGATTTTCAAAAACTAAAATACTGTAAAACACATTTTCGCTTGAAATTAATTTTCCCTGAAGGAAGGATTCAGTGAAAATAAAATCCAGTGAATACACCTTTTTTCCTATATTTTACATTCAACACATTAAAAATCGGTGAAAATAAATTCCATACAAAACACCCAAAAAGCCTTTTCAGCGAAAAATTAATTCCAGCTAAAATAAAGTAAGTCCATATAATGTAGATGCGCCAACAGTGGAATATAACTTGTGTCCAACCATCATGTCAAAATTATCCATCGCAAACATAATCCAGTCCCGACACCAGGTCATATTTGATACAGGTCTTGTGTGACATATACAAAATACTTAATTATTTGCATCTGTGGTATCACATTTTATTGCAAATCACATTTAGGGGTAGGGGTAGGGGTAGGGGTAGGGGTTGGGTGTGGTGGTGGGGGTTGGGTCAATGCGTTATGTTATACACTTACTGTATAGGATTAATTATTAACTGGGTTTTAATTTCAGTTATGTCTGATTGCTAAAAGTATCAAATTAAAACCCAGTAATTATAATGTATTCTTTTCTTGACAAACAAATGAATTTAAAATAGAGAATCTCTCTACAACAACAATAATCAGCTAATATTAAACTCAACAATCTGGTATCAAACTTGTTTTTTCTTCTCTTTATTATGTTACATAGGCATGA